CAAGGAATTTTAACAACGGGAAGCTATTTTCTTCGCATCTGGATAAAAATTTACTTCTGAGTTCTACATTAGCATGCATTCTATTGATATCAGCATGCTATTTTTATATGCATAATAGACATACTGTTGGTAAAACTGCTTTCAAATTTATTCGAAACACAAATTACTTCAGGTGATATATCAGTTCACACGTTCATGTTGTTGGAAGGTTTGTTACAGCGCAAGCTTAATCTGTGAAACTATCCGGTCTTCAAGCAAACTACTGATAATCACTGCAGGTTGCATTCAAACTTGTCCTAGAAGCTGACCCCCCGAAAATGGCTTTGCCGCAGAGAAATTGCCCTTGAGAAAAGTACAATATGTACACATTTGCACTGTGGCATTTATGAAGATGGTATAACCAGCGCAATGGAGGTGGGCTGGACATGCAGCCTGCGGCACACTCTGTCATGATTATAGATGGCCAGAAAGACTTTTATGGAATGGCAGTCCAGAAAAGGGAGGTTGGAACAGTCAAAGGCAATGGTGGAAGAGTAGCAAGGTGCGATATCCTGGAATAGACACGGGGATAAGGTGATGAACAACCTGATAAATGTAAGCAGAAGAGCTTTGTTCACTGAATAGGCATTGCCCGCATGCGAAGGACGAAAGACAATCATGTCTATTTACATGTACAGAAAAACCTAAAAACGGTCCCATTTCAATTAACCTACAAGCATATAACGTGTACCCCCAGATACTGGGCATTGTCGGTGACTTGGTAATGTGTCAAATGTTTCCAGGCACTTCAAGGAAGGAGAGAACCATCAGGAAATTGAAGAAAAGGTGACCGCCGACAAATATTGGCGCAGATCGACTTGGGGACTTCGACGGACAGGTGGCATGGTGGGGGTAAATCAATGACAACGCAGTGTAACCAGACACGGGTGCAGTAATTGTGCCACTGTGTGCAGCTAACGAGACACGTGCCTTGGACAGGCTTGCCATTATGCAATGGGGAGGTCTCCCTGGTGCTCAATTCATCTGCAGAGAGTCGCGATGCTGCAAGGGCACAGCTAGTGAATTCTGTACACACCAAGCTTGCCTACTTTCCATTTTAATTACAATGGCAAACATTTAACTATTTGGTTCGTGTGACATCACTTCAGTTTAAATCACGCCCACTGCACATGCTCTGCACAGAGTTAATGCACTGATCGCCATTTCTATGGAACCACGGAACCAGAAGTTATGAACCATATGAAAAAAAACAATGCAACCAGGAAAAGAATTCAACGTCAATGTAACACTTGTATGCGAGGAAACGTCCAACTTCTTTGTAATGCTGCTATGCAAATGCTATCACAAAACTGCACTTGCTTTTGCACTGGATCTAAATTGATCTATGGGAAGATCACTTCCAACATGTACCATACATATTGGTCCACTGTTAACTCCATATATAGAAAAGCCTCCAATGATATCATTGGTGCACTGCATTTGGGGCTTATTTGTGGACATGAGAAAATCTGACAGAAAAAGTTCAAAATTCAATTTCTGGAACACTTTACTGTAGTTCTGTAAGGAACTTACGTGTACTTGCACAGCAGCTTTCGGAAGGCAGGTTGCACATGTATGATGGATTAACACACGATGTGCATGTACATGAACAGTCTACACATTGGTACTGCATGTACATAGATGAACATACATGTATCACTATTAAACAACGACACCATAAACTGGTCTCTGATCAAACAAAATTATCTATAGGTATTAAAAAAAAAAAAAAAAAAAGAAAGAAGTCCAGGGCACTATTACATGTACAGTGTACAGTGTATCAGGGAAAATTGGTAAATGCTAGCAACACTCAAGCCCACTGTCAGGCTACATGTATATTGCATGATTCGAAGCATTAAATTCCCACTGAGAGTTTTCAACCAGGGTGAGGCGCATATAAAAGGCATTTTTCACAGAAATCGCAACTTTGGCCTTGCTCTTCGGTACGCCTCAATTAACACAAAAGATGTCAAGATTAGTGAAAACCAACAAGGAGACATCTGCGATGGTTAATTATCACCTGGTAAAGAATGAATGCTCTGCAGCTCGTGGCACTGTTATGAGACAGTTGCAGCCAAAATCTCTTTGGTTAGACAAAAGACCGCAAAGTCTCAGAAAAAAATAAAGAAAAGGAATCATGCCTTCGATGAGAGTAGACAATGTGTAGTGAAAGGAAGGACATTTCCCGAGTGGTTTCAATCTCCGGATGAGAGATGGGTCAGTTAAAAGCTCTTAGAGGCACTCTTCCCGTGGTGTTCAAATGGTGACGGCCAAGCCAAAACACGTACCAGTTCGAGATGAGAGGTTGTGCACCATAGAGATGCATTAAGAGCATTTATTTGGATTGCGAGCGAGCTGCATTAGAATCCTGCCCACTGATCGCCTTAATGAAGTGTCAATCTGTCGTTGTTTTTATGATGCCTGAGCACACACATGCGGCAAATCTCGAAGGCAATGGGTGCCGGTGAAATAATATTTTCTTGCCACACTGCACCTCTTTGTCACAAGGTAAACATTCTCTCGCTCTTCCCAGGGCTTGGAAAAGAAAACATATATGTCACGTCCAAAGGACTTACCTGTTAAAAAGCTTGGCAAAGTGTAAAATACAAAGGTAGAAAAAGCCCACAATGAGATTTTTGGCAAGATAAAAACGTCCACTTTGCTAGCAGTTAGAACCTGAAGTGCTTGGAAAATTCCCTGGTCTTGAAGACGACGAAGTGCTGTTCTTGAATTCCAACGATCAAGTCCGTAGCAGGTCTACAGGCTGGGGAATTTCACAGCGACCGCCCCCAGTTGGCAGTTGTTCTGGCAGCCAGCCATGAGAGAATTATACAATGTAGGCGAGAGCTAGGGTTTGAACTGAACACCGCCACCACACCCCAGACACTTTTTTCCTTTTTAAAGGATAAGTTCTCAGCGAAGTTTGCTCCTCATGACAAATAGCGGCAGTTTTACAAAGAACAGGCTCCACTTTTCAGAAACTTCCCCCCCCCCAGTTTCAAACTACCGGTACCGGTAGCTTGTGACAGCCCTTGACTGAATTCATGAAGATACATGTACTAAAAGGGGAAGCTGTCCAATACCACTTCAGGCTTTCTAGCAAGGTCAAAAACGTGAAGTATTGTTTTATAGAGTACAATGTAGTCATGCTTATCAGACTTCTAAGACTGCAAATCAATATTATACATATCAAACAATATCGGTCTATGAAGTTTGTTTTTCCTTATTTATGGCTGGCCAGCTCTATAAACAAAACCTGTGTTAGCAGCAACAGCTGTGAGCTGTGGAACTTTTTAACGAGATTTCAAACTCTCAAAATTCTTTTCAGTATAACATATGGGCCATGCTCATCAGTTACGCAAGCAAATGTCTGCCTACCTGGCTTCCTTCCTCAGATCCACCCAAATCTTTGTAAACTCCCGGCATTGTAGTGAATGCCGCTACAAATGTCAAATCATATGAGGAGTTCCTGCGCGAAGTGAGCACGCTGAATGCTCTGCGCCGCACCCCAGTCCCCCTATCAAGGGAAGCCCTCTTCATGTTCATTACGCCAATATGGCTTTTTTGTGAGTCAATACTAAAGTTCATGATGACAGCTGTGATCGAAACCTACATATTCTCAACAGAGCTACAGTGTACGTATATCCTTGAGACTTCTTCCTCATTTTTGAATAACAAAGTCGTGCCTTCCAACAATTGAAAACCGAGAACACAAATAGAAACTCCACCCTTCAGGGAAACACAGTACAGTTTTTCCCGGATCACTGCAATCTCGAGGAACTAGCTGCTTTTTACAAAAGCACTGGCGACAATCTACCAGCTGATATCATTTACTGCAGATTCGGTAGATCTGATCAGAAGCGGTGAATCGTTGGTAAGTTTAACAACAACGGACAATGTGTACTTTGACAGACGACACACAAGTTTTCCGTTTGCACAGGTAGATCGACTACTCGATAGCCACGCCGCCGCATGACACAGCACTGTTAGTTTAGCTGTATTTAATGCAGGCATCCTAGGCACTTCACTTGTGACTCTTTAGCAAGATAAGCCACCTTTGCCACGGTCAAACACGGAAGCTACACAAAGAGTTAAAACTTACAAGGCCACGGTAGACACAAGTGTGTACCAGTAATTGACATTCAATGATATAGCACATCCACCACATACAACACTTCAGTAACCTTTGTGAATAGTTTAGAAATGGCCTTTACTCAGTACTGAAAAATATGTGTAATGTTCGTCTCTACAATAGAAACACCAAAGTTGGAATTCTCCTTTTGTTAAACCAAACAAAGCCAATTCATGAAATCATGGATACTGATCAGCACCACGAATGGGGTTGAGATTGGGCGGAGAAAAGAAAAATCTATGAACCATCCTGCAGAGGGATAGTTAACAATGACACAATAAAGTACAATATTTGCAGGGTTTTAATCGCTGACAAAAGTTCTCTAGCAAATATGACTACATCCGTGAGTCTAGCACTAGGGCTTTTGCACAAAGGGCCACAATAAGTAGCAATAAATGAATGATTGAACCTCTAAGGCAAAAAATTCCTGGCATTCAAAAAATCCTGGGAAGCAAAGTTTCCCCGAATCTGTTAAGAAAAAAAATACAGTTGACATCCGGGCCAACAAAATGAGTCAGATATAACCAGATTTGTTGATTTACAGGTCTTCTGAGGAACAGAATCTGCTGATGTTTTTTCTTTGAAATCAGGCTACAGTAAGAGAGCTAATTACTTCGCCAAGATCCTAAAGTTTTTCTCGTATCTCAACTATTAGCCAGTTTGGCATTGTAACGCTGCATGCCAAAAATAAAGCACACGTGCATGAGGTCGGCATTATCAGTGTGTACCCCGTAGCATGCCAACTCACACGCACCGAACATGTTCACGATTGTGTGGTTTGTTTTCGAATGACACAGCCATTTGGGTTTCAATGCTATTTTTCTCCTACCTCCCAAATCATCTTGAAGTCCTTCTGCTCCACACGGAGTAGCTCGCAGAACTCGCTGGTGATGACTGTGGCGTGCCTCGGTGAGTCGTTCAGGACCGATTCGCCAAATGCCGTGCCAATGCCTAACGTGCATATTGTGACTGCCTCCTGACAAGTGACAACCCCCGAAAAATCACCGTTGCATGAATTTCTCCTACAATTTTCTTCTCAGTCTAAACATGGCCAGACTAGGTCTGATGCCGCAAGCACATAAAGAAAGGCTGCGTGGTCTGACATCATTATGACACAAATTACAAAAAGAACCTCTCCAGCAAGTTTTAAGTTCATGTACAGGTATGCATGTATGCAACTTTTGGTAGACCCGTAAGTAGACGGTAGACCCGGCAGGGTCTACTTTTTGCTTTGTGTCTTGAATCAGATCCAACATTAGAAAAACTGTGGCAGCCTACTTACTGAGTGGCATGACAAGAAATAAACAAAAGTTTAAAAAGTGTCAGCCTTTATGAGAAAGATACTGCCGAGATGGAAACATCAGGCCATCCACATACATGTACATTAACTTTTTAATTTTTAGATTGTTTCAAGCCAACCTTTGTATTGCCAATTTCTCTGTCGCTGACGTTCACATCCAGTGTTCCCGAAAGTACAGCATACCAGTTGGTGCCAATGTCTCCTTGTCGAAATACTATGATGAGAACGGAAGAAAAAAGTAATGAATTGATGAAATATGAATGTTATGCTCTTAACAGGATAAAACATCCCTGGGCAAACCTGCTCTGTATGCATTGACACTTCTAAAGGTTATCCCGTTGATTTTTGCTGCTTGTTTTTTGTTAGGCGTTTACATGTACCTCAACATCAAATCCTATTCATTTGAATTCCATGAAATCTGAGACACTGACAATTTTGGCCGTTCAGCACAGGCACCAAAAAAGTGAATTGACTGTTAAATTACTAAATTGCTGTTGCTTAATTTGGTTTTTCCTCCTGCACTCACATTTTGACGTAAAACAGAAATGAACAGACAGTGCTTTTTGGCAACAAATAGCTGTAGCCAAAAAATTAGAGCTGAATATTCCTAGAATACACTTCCATTTACAAATCATGATTCTAAGTGTTTTAAATTTACTATAACAACTTAAAACGACAAAATTTTTGGAAGAATTTCCAGTGGACATTAAATGCATGGATACAGGTACCTGTACTTTTCAAGTGGAGAGTAAAATGTAATGAATGAATGCTAAGATTTCATGTGCACAAAATGTCTCTGAACAGTAACATTACTGTACTTATAAGTAACCCAAATTGCCTGTGTATAGTGTTTGCTTGAGACCTTACTGCAAGGCGAACATTACCATCCCAACAGCATGTGGCATTGTAAATTACTTACAACAGGCTCCACCTACATGCATGCAGCTATATAATCTTCCAGTCTTTCAAATCAAGCCAGACCAAGAGCTGGATTTTGGCAGGTTTAATGAGTTAAGAAAATAGGATTAAACAACAATGTCCACATGGAAGGAGACAGACTACTGGTAGGCCTGCAAATCATGTTAACAAGCTTGTGCAACCTTGATTTAATGTGTGATTGGGGAAATCGCTCATGTTGCATGTACTAAAAGTTCACCATAAGGACACGCTCTGTGAGTAAAATTTTCAATTTTTGTAGAATTAAAGCTGTGCTGTATTGAATTAAAGGTTTACTACTTGCACATGTACTGGTACATGTACGTTATCCAAAAGGCAGCATACATGTACATGTACACTGCACATATTGCTACATGTATACATGTACATTTACATACACTGCTCTCTTCTTAGCGTAACAGGCTTTTTTGAGGGCTTTACAAATGAGTTGCATATGACTCAATACAAATGCATCCTGGAAACAATTTTACATTTGCCATGCCAGAACACGTAATGCACGGTGTGCAAGTTCCCACATGCATGATACTGTAGCACAAGCAACGCAATGACTAGGAATCTAATTACAAGATTGACCAACACACTGTGCCTTGGGACTGCACTGTTATTGCATTACAACTCTCCAGCTCCGTGAACTGAACAAAATTTATAACACTCCATTGCACCATACTGTGGGGAAAAGATGGACGGGTTGTCCTCAGACCTCTTGCTACATGTAACATTTCTGTTTTACTTTTTGATGTTTCTATAAAGAAAAGAAAAACAAAAAAGACAAAAATCTGTACATATTTTCCTGGACCGTGAAAATCCTAAGTTATGAACGCTTACATGTACCTCCGTAATGAGCCACTTCGGTATTTCATAAGGCAAGGTTTTGGGGGAACAAAGCATGTGCTTGAGTTGGTGTGTATGTGTACTGTATATATGGCTGTGCTGATTGGACAGACCATCGTGCACATGCTGGCATTCCTGAACAGTCTCAGACGTGCCTCTGTTTGGGCATGCTCAGTTCGGAATACAAAGCTGGGTCAACAGGGCCCATGCATTTTTGTATTCTTCCATTAATGGTTGCTCTTACTTGTTAAATCACTATTTCAGACCTGGCATCATAAAATGCGTAGACATATAACAAACTCAAAGCTTTGTTGAACAGCATTGGTTGTTATAAATGTTACTTCCCCACAGAATAATCTGACTGGCCTATACGTGTACATTTATGCATACATTTAGACAACACTCCCCATTAATGCCCTGGATTATTTATAGGGCACGTGACGTAAATTCTACTTGGGAACATATTTTATGCAATTCAAATTTCTACTCTTCTCAATCAATTTAATTGAACTATTTGACACTCTTTCCAGTTAATCTTACTGAAAAGTGGACTGAAAGAAAACAACCTTAACAACTTGTCAAGTTTTTCCTGATTGGGGGCACTGCTACTCTCGTGATGTCTATGTTAGGACACCGCTCATGAGAGAGGGGTCCTGTCCAGATTGGAAGATAAATGTTGAGAACATTTTGCTCCTGTCCCTGCTGTCATGTAGTGAAGGGCCAAAGAGGCACTTAAGATGAGAAAATGTTGAGTGCTGATGTCACTCTGGTCCTTCCTAGAATAGCACCATGCTTTTGCTCATAAAATGGCCGCAGCTTCACCACCATGAAAAAGACACCAAAAAATCCCTCAAAAAAGTAAAAAAAAAAATTGAAAATAGGGCTACATGTACAGTAACTGGGATACAAAGGAGCCTTTACAAGGAATGCATTAAAACGAAAACTACACTGCTTGTGCACATCATGCATGTATATTAAATTAAAATGAACCTGTGCAAGAGGTTGTCTGCCACTCTTATTACCGTTATGTAGATGAGTGTGATAAATGTTCTTCGTGCTCTGGTTGCTATACCATCTATCCTTCCCTTCCTGCAAGATATTTTCACTCTTTTGTCAGTGCTGATGACATGCAAGGTATGGCTGAGACGAGCCAATCATGCACTTGGCCTGTCCCTATCAAGGTATTTGCTCCATGAGCATGTACATGTACATTACACCTCGGAACCCAGCCCCTTATAAATTATCTCTTTCTCAATGTAGGATGGATTCTGGCCTCGACTGGAAGGCATCTCTCCACACCCTTCTCGTTTAGGGTGGCTTATTATGGCGTTGATTGACTGCGACTTTTCTAGAATTTTTTTCCTTCACACACCAGGCTCTAAACCTCACGAGTTAAACTAGGGTGCTGTACACTGCACTGTGCTGAATTCCAGCTATGACAGAAAAAATTCAGTTCTGGTTTACACTGCCAATTTCCTCTCTTTTTTTTTGGTAATGACAGCCTCACTTTATTTTTAGGGTCAAATATGCCGGCCACCACCAGTGATTTCCTCCTACAAAGTACATGGCCGCATAACAGACGGCTCCCAAGACATGATAAATTGGAAAACCTATCTACGGCTCTCAGTCTGGCCACAAGTAAAACTGGGTGATGCCATCAGTGTCTGGTCCCACAAAGCAGGCTCAATTTTTTGTGCAAACAACTTCTCCCCAGCAACGCGCTGGGCGGTCAATAATAAAACCACCCTCATTTTGCCGTCAAATTCGTTCCGGGCAATATATACATGTAGGTACGAAATTCAGAAAAAAATGGATAGAGTCATTCTACGTGTGCCATACAAAGTGTTCAACTGTTTCTCTCAAAAAAAAATAATAATGGAGTCGTTGTCTACTTTCACCAGCAAGATATTTATATTCATGACAGCATTAAAAAATGAATTAGGCATTTATTTTTTCCATGTGTGGAATGTAATGCCGTATTGGTGCAAGCTTGCAGTATTTATACATTCTGCAGACTTTTAGCTGAGCACATACATGCTATACATCCAGGCATGTCCTGAAAAATTGTTCTTTGAATTCTCTGAAATTACTGGGGGAAGACCGATTGATTTCAACAAAATAAATTTCACTAAAACTGATGAGTACATGCATCGCAAACAGGACTGTTGCTGATGAGGTCCAATGTACTGTATTCTAGCAAAAAAGGTACGATACGGCTCAAAATATTTTGAAACCTGATATCTAAAAATTGAAAAACTCACACACAATTCCGATTTTGTGAAAGAGTACGGGGCCACTGCCCTTTGGGTGTACAAAACACCACGAACCCCTTCACAGAAGGCAACAAAAAACTTTGCTATGGCTGAAAATAGTGCATACACCTATGGAAGCCAATGGCTAACATCTGTAGCCATTTCCCATAAATGTGTGTGCTTTACTATGCTACTAAGCCATAGCCAATTAAATCAGACACAGCATACATGTACATTGTATGTCACAATTTTACAAACAATGCTGCATGCACCATGAATTTTCTTCTTAATATTGTTCAAGAGAATGCTGGGACTTGACTTACTGGCATAGTACTTTGCAATTGAATTAAAATAATTAATAAATTAATCAATGAACACTGCGAATTGGGATGAAAAAATTGTGAAAAGAATTCACTGTCATTTCACAAGGCATGAAAATGATTTCCCACTTGTAAGAAAATCCATGAAATATTTTCCTATCTTTTTCCACTTGTAAGAGAATCTGTGAAGATCTTTTCCCACTTTAGAAAAAAGTTTTTCGTGCTGTGTGAAATGAAAATGAATTCCCAGGCAGGTGAAAAAGTGTGAAAAGTTTTTTTCTACTCACAAGTTAACTTTGGATTGCAATGTACTGTACACGTAAGAGGAGATAGTCTAAGACTGAAGCCAACACAAGAATCTTGCAGCGCAATGTTTTAACAATTCGATAGAGTTTATACTAAGATGATGACAATAAGTCAGGAACTATATGTGCATGGAAGTGTGCTCGTACTTCAATACCCTGATAATTAGTGAAGAACCTTACGGCCCTTTAAATAACCTGCTACGCAGAAGTAAAATCATCACTGCAGTCTTGATTTCCATTACAACTTTGCTGAAAAACACAAATATTGTTATCCGCTGGAATGTTCAATCATTTTGATTTACAGTAGTTGAGAGCCACATGTACACACAACACAAACAGTTTGGGAAATTTTAGAATTTTTGAAAAGATTTGCCAATGACTTGAAAAAGCTGTTACAGAAAATTCCAGAACTGGTAAGGTACATGTACTCTATCGTTTCTTGTTAAAATTCCAGTGTCTGTCTTTCCTAACCTCCCAACATCATGTCTGCTACTGGTACTTACAAACACGGTGATGAAAACAAATGTATCACACAGATAAAATATGCTA